TTTTCACAAGTAATGAAAACTTGATACAAAATCATAACAGTTTTGAAGACGTAAGTCAGACCACAAGTTGAAGGTACACAACACACACACACACACACACCCACACACACACACACATACCCACACCACACACACACACACACACACACACACACACACACACCACACACACATACACACACATACACACACATACACACACATACACACACACCACACACACACACACACACACACACACACACACACACCCCACACACACACACACACACAAGAACATAAGGAAGAACACTGCAACCGGCCTACTGGCCTATGCGAGGAAGGCCAGTTCTCCTACCGGCTTAAGCTCACTGACCGTCTGACCTCACTGACCTGGTTAGGTCCAACTCACACCCACCCACACCCACTCATGTATTTATCCAACCTATTTTTAAAACTACACAACGTCTTAGCTTCTATAACGGTACTCGGGAGTTTGTTCCACTCATCCACAACTCATTACCAAACCAGTGCTTTCTTATATCCTTCCTGAATCTGAATTTTGCCAATTTAAAACTATTGCTGCGAGTCCTATGTTTGCTATTTTTAGCACGCTATTTACATCCCCTTTATTAATTCCTGTTTTCCATTTATTCACCTCATTCACATTCCCCCTAATTCTACGCCTTTCTAGAGAGTGCAGATTCATTTAGTCATGAGGATATGGTCAAATCAACTGGAAACTAACAAACCGTGAGCTTACTGAAGTATGCTGGGAAAACAATATGGTGACTTAAACCAGCATTTCTAGAGGATGAGCTCAGTGGCACTCAAAGTACACTCCAGGTACACACACTCATGGAGAAGGTCCAGACTGGAAAAGGAAAGGTTCGCCATCTGTAGACGAAAACGACAGATAAGAGAGCTCCACACAGGCAGCGGAGTTTTTCCTGGAGAATGAAAAGTAAGCTGAATGTACCAGGGAAGAGAGAGGAGAAGAAAAAAGCCACAATTAAAACTGATATATATCAAAATACTTCTTATATGCAAAACTCAGGACAAGCAAATCTAGTATCAGACCTTTGATTAAAGGAGGTAGAACTTAGATTAGAAAACAAAGAGTGAAATACTTAAGTCACAGCACTACTTAGTGATCAATTAGCCATTATTCAGTCTAAAAATTGACACCCCAAACGAGTTTTTCATGAACGAGACAAACCGCTAGAGACGTCTCCATAATCTCTGATATAACTTAAACCCGCCTGACCTCGAGGAAACCATTGATAAGCATGACAAAGCACTCCACTCCCAAGCCCAGACTCGTGGAAATCTATATCAAGAATTGTAAGAAACTACCATCACACTGGAATCATCCCATAGTCATTAAAAAATACTATTTCCCCACTCCACAAACGTGGCAGTAAAACCATTTATAATAAGAGGCTTATTAGATAATGCAGGATACCGTATGTACTGTACACCTCACACCATGTCTGTATGGAATACCTGTGTGTATGTCCCCGTATCATCTAACACTACGTGTGTGTATACCCCCGTACCATGTAATACTACGTGTGTGTACACCCCCGTACCATGTAACACAACCTGTGTGTACACCCCCGTACCATGTAACACTACCTGTGTGTACACCCCTGTATCATGTAACACTACTTGTGTACATCCCCGTACCATGTAACATCACCTGTGTGTACATTCCCGTACCATGTAACACCACCTGTGTGTACACCCCCGTACCATATAGCACCACCCGTGTGTACACCCCTGTACCATGTAACACCGCCTATGTGTACACCCCCGTACCATGTAACACCACCTGTGTGTACGCCCTCGTACCATGTAACACCACCTGTGTGTACACCCCCGTACCATGTAACACCACCTGTGTGTACACCCCCGTACCATGTAACACCGCCTATGTGTATACCCCTGTACCATGTAACACCGCCTATGTGTACACCCCCGTACCATGTAACACCACCTGTGTGTACACCCCCGTACCATGCAACAACACTGTGTGTACACCCCTGTACCATGCAACACCACCTGTGTGTACACCTCCGTACCATGCAACACGACCTGTGTGTACACCCCCGTACCATGCAACACCACCTGTGTGTACACCCTCGTACCATGCAACACCACCTGTTTGTACACCCCCGTAACATGTAACACCACCTGTGTGTACACCCTCGTACCATGTAACACCACCTGTGTGTACACCCCTGTACCATTCAACACCACCTGTGTGTACACCCTCGTACCATGTAACACCACCTGTGTGTACACACCCGTACCATTCAACACCACCTGTGTGTACACCCTCGTACCATGTAACACCACCTGTGTGTACACCCCCGTACCATTCAACACCACCTGTGTGTACACCCTCGTACCATTCAACACCACCTGTGTGTACACCCCCGTACCATGTAACACCACCTGTGTACACCCCCGTACCATTCAACACCACCTGTGTGTACACACTCGTCCATTCAACACCACCTGTGTATACACCCCCGTACCATGCAACACCACCTGTGTACACACCCCCGTACCATGTAACACCACCTGTGTGTACACCCCCGTACCATTCAACACCACCTGTGTATACACCCCCGTACCATGCAACACCACCTGTGTATACACCCCCGTACCATGTAACACCTGTGTGTACACCCCCGTACCATTCAACACCACCTGTGTATACACCCCCGTACCATGCAACACCACCTGTGTGTACACCCCCGTACCATGTAACACCACCTGTGTGTACACCCCCGTACCATTCAACACCACCTGTGTGTACACCCCCGTACCATGTAACACCACCTGTGTGTACACCCCCGTACCATGTAACACCACCTGTGTGTACACCCCCGTACCATTCAACACCACCTGTGTGTACACCCCCGTACCATGTAACACCACCTGTGTATATACCCCCGTACCATGTAACACCACCTGTGTATACACCCCCGTACCATGTAACACCACCTGTGTATACATCCCCGTACCATTCAACACCACCTGTGTGTACACCCCCGTACCATTCAACACCACCTGTGTATACACCCCCGTACCATGCAACACCACCTGTGTTACACCCCCGTACCATGTAACACCTGTGTGTACACCCCCGTACCATTCAACACCACCTGTGTGTACACCCCCGTACCATGTAACACCACCTGTGTATATACCCCGTACCATGTAACACCACCTGTGTATACACCCCCGTACCATGTAACACCACCTGTGTATACATCCCCGTACCATTCAACACCACCTGTGTGTACACCCCCGTACCATGTAACACCACCTGTGTGTACACCCTCGTACCATTCAACACCACCTGTGTATACACCCCCGTACCATGCAACACCACCTGTGTGTACACCCCCGTTCCATGTAACACCACCTGTGTGTACACCCCCGTACCATTCAACACCTGTGTGTACACCCCCGTACCATGTAACACCACCTGTGTGTACACACCCGTACCATTCAACACCACCTGTGTGTACACCCCCGTACCATGTAACACCACCTGTGTGTACACACCCGTACCATTCAACACCACCTGTGTGTACACCCCCGTACCATGCAACACCACCTGTGTATACACCCCCGTACCATGCAACACCACCTGTGTATACACCTCCGTACCATGTAACACCACCTGTGTATACACCCCCGTACCATGCAACACCACCTGTGTATACACCCCCGTACCATTCAACACCACCTGTGTATACACCCCGTACCATGTAACACCACCTGTGTATACACCCCCGTACCATTCAACACCACCTGTGTGTCACACCCCGTACCATGTAACACACCCCTGTGTATTCACCCCCGTACCATGCAACACCACTGTGTATACACCCCCGTACCATTCAACACCACCTGTGTATACACCCCCGTACCATATAACACCACCTGTGTATACACCCCCGTACCATGCAACACCACCTGTGTATACACCCCCGTACCATGCAACACCCCCTCTGTTTACATCCCCGCATCACCTACGAATCACATACCTGCTTTATACAAAAAAATACATCCTATACAGAGGAAAATAAAATTTATCAACAGGAAATACTAACAAGACAACTAAAAGTGTTTGAGTTAATGTGTCAGTGTGTGTTGCAGCGTGAAGCAGCTGCTGTCAGTTCCTGGTGCCCTCACAGTGCTATAACACACACCGCACCACATTTTCTATTATATTTATGCAGCATATGGCATGATAGGAAATGTGAGAAAGGTTGACGATGGTATATTTATAAAGATACGTAATATGATAGCGTGGTTGGTACAGGTAATAATATATGGGTGTGGGGGGGGGTGTGTGAGGGGAGGCAGGTTGGCGGGGGTAGGAGCGGCTGGCTGGCTCACTGGCTGGCTGGCTCACTGGCTGGCTGAATCACTGGCTGACTGGCTCACAGGCTGGCTGGCTGGCTGGCTGGCTGGCTGGCTGGCTCACTGGCTGGCTGGCTGGCTCACTGGCTGGCTTTCTGGCTGGCTTTCTGGCTGGCTCACTGGCTGGCTGGCTGGCTGGCTGGCTGGCTGGCTGGCTGGCTGGCTGGCTGGCTGGCTGGCTGGCTGGCTGGCTGGCTCACTCACTGGCTGGCTGGCTGGCTCACTCACTGGCTGGCTGGCTGGCTGGCTGGCTGGCTGGCTGGCTGGCTCACTCACTGGCTGGCTGGCTCACTGGCTGGCTGGCTCACTGGCTGGCTGGCTCACTGGCTGGCTGGCTGGCTGGCTGGCTGGCTCACTGGCTGGCTGGCTCACTGGCTGGCTGGCTGGCTGGCTGGCTGGCTGGCTGGCTCACTGGCTGGCTGGCTGGCTGGCTGGCTGGCTGGCTGGCTGGCTGGCTGGCTCACTCACTGGCTGGCTGGCTGGCTGGCTGGCTGGCTGGCTGGCTGGCTGGCTGGCTGGCTGGCTGGCTGGCTGGCTGGCTCGCTGGCTGGCTCGCTGGCTGGCTGGCTGGCTGGCTGGCTGGCTGGCTGGCTGGCTGGCTCACTGGCTGGCTGGCCTACTTGCTGAGTGCTAGTGGCCTCACCAACCTTACCGCGCTCGCTACTTGCTGTGCGTCAAAGTCTCCCAAAAACTCGTATCGGTGGTATCCCGGTGTTGTTTCTGGACTATTGTCGTGTGAAATGATGTTGGATAAGTGGTGAAACAGTGCTAGTGTGTTCTGAGGTGCGTTAAGGAACCTATTCAGTGGAGAGTCCTGCTGTGTGTACCTGCATTCCTGACCAGGAGGAGGAGGAGGAGGTAGGACCTGCTTGTTCTTCAACTTTCTTGTTATGGTCGGATCTTCAGCCTGCACTTCTAGCCTGCTACTCCAGGATTTAAGTTTCATACGTTTACTTCAATAAACAATTTATTATATGGTATATTTAGTCAAACTATTAAAGTGCTTTTGTTTTTTACCCGGAGTTTTTTGACGCTAGGTTTAGGATTCCTACCTTTATGTGCAAGCTAAGACCTGTTACCTACAGTAGCTCTCTCTCTCTCTCTTTCTCTCTCTTTTTCTCTCTCTCTTCCTCTCTCTCTTCCTCTCTCTCTCTTCCTCAATCTCTCTCTCTCTTCCTCAATTTCTCTCTCTCTCCCTCAATCTCTCTCTCTCTCCCTCAATCTCTCTCTCTCTCCCTCTCTCCCTCAATCTCTCTCTCTCCATCTCTCCCTCAATCTCGCTCCCTCTCTTCCTCAGTCTCTCTCTCCCCAACCTCATCTTCATCATTCCAAACACTACCTCATTCTACAAACTCACTTCCATCATTCCAGACACACCCCTACACCTCCATCATTCCACACATACCTTCCGAACCTCATCACACACACCCATCTTCCCTCATTCCACACACACATCACCCACCTAATTCCACACACCGTGTGCTTACCGAGTTGTGTTTGCAGGGTCGAATCTCCGCTTCTTTCATACCACGTGGGCTCTATCATACCTACTCTTGAAACTGTGTATTGAGTTTGTGTCCACCACTTCCTCATCTACCAAGTTATATACATAAACCACCCTGAGACTGAAAAAGTATTTCCTGACGTCCCAGTGGCTTGTGTGTGTCTGTAGTTTCAATCAATGACCACTCGTCTGTGTTCTCATTCAAAAAATCTGTTCCTTTCCGATGTGTCAAAGCCTCTGAGTATCGTGTATGTCGTAAACATGTCTCCACTAGTATTTTCTGTTCAAGTTGTCATATTCCGTTTCTTTAGTATCTTCGTACGCTGTATAACCCTTGTAGGTTTAGCGCTTCTATTTGATGATAATAATAGTCTCTTCATAACTCAAAACCCTGAGCACTGGGACTAGTCTTGTTGCAGTCCTGTATTCATCTATTCTAAATGTACTCACCTATATGTGGTTGCAGGTGTCGATTCACAGCTCCTGGCCCCTCCTCTTCACTGTTCGCTACTAGGTCCACTCTCTCCCGGATCCGAGAAACTTGTACCTCTTCTTAAAGTTGTGAGTGAATCTCGCCTCTACCACTTAACTCTCTAGATGGTTCCACTTCCTGACAACTCTTAAGAGTAAAGAGATACTTCGTAACATCCCTGTGGTTCGTCTGAGTGTTTAACTTCCACATGTGTCCTCTTGATCCCATCTCTGAAACATCGTGTCACTCTTCACCTTGTCAGTACCTCTCAATACTATATACGTCGTTATTATGTACTCCACTGTCCATCCTGTCCTCCAGTGTCGTCACGTTGAGTTCCCTTAATCTCTCCTCCTAGGACATACCCCTTAGCTCCGGTACTGAGTAGTCACCTATATGTAGTTGAATGGTTCAGAGAACCGACATGTTGATAAATTAGACACATGTGCAACTCTTGGGTATCTTTATTAAGGAAACGTTTCGCCACACAGTGGCTTCATCAGTCCATACGTAGGAGAAACTTGAACAGGAGGAGAATGAGGTAATCAGTCCCTCAACCTTGAGTCGATGTGTTCAGTCCATCAATCTTGAATAGAATACGGCATATCAGCGGAGAAGCAGCTTATAAACCGTATGGCAGGAGAGGTGCAGCAGTCATAGGTCGTGTCACATTTGTTCAATGTTCTTGGGCACGACCTACTTCCACATTGAACAAATGTGACATGACCTATGACTGCTGCACCTCTCCTGCCATACGGTTTATAAGCTGCTTCTCCGCTGATATGCCGTATTCTATTCAAGATTGATGGACTGAACACATCGACTCAAGGTTGAGGGACTGATTACCTCATTCTCCTCCTGTTCAAGTTTCTCCTACGTATGGACTGATGAAGCCACTGTGTGGCGAAACGTTTCCTTAATAAAGATACCCAAGAGTTGCACATGTGTCTAATTTATCACCTATATGTAGTTGCAGGGGTCTGTTCAAAGCTCCTGTCCCAGTGCGTGCGTGTGAATGTGTGTGCGCGCGCGTGCGCGGTGAAAGTGTAGTGAACACATGTCACTGGCAGTGTGTAACTCTTATGGTGACAAAAAAACAACAGGAAAGAAAGTTTGTACATTACAACCTCCACCTGACACTCTTCAACCTCCACCTGACACTCTTCAACCTCCACCTGACACTATTCAACCTCCACCTGACACTCTTCAACCTCCACCTGACACTATTCACCCTCCACCTGACACTATTCCAACCTCCCCTGACACTATTTACCCTCCACCTGACACTATTCAACCTCCACCTGACACTCTTCAACCCCCCACCTGACACTATTCAACCTCCACCTGCACTCTTCAACCTCCACCTGACCACTATTCACCCTCCACCTGACACTATTCAACCTCCACCTGACACTATTCACCCTCCACCTGACACTATTCAACCTCCACCCGACACTCTTCAAACCCCCACCTGACACTCTTCAACCTCCACCTGACACCTTCAACCTCCACCTGACACTCTTCAACCTCCACCTGACATTATTCAACCTCCACCTGACACTCTTCAACCTCCACCTGACACTCTTCAACCTCCACCTGACACTCTTCAACCTCCACTGACACTCTTCAACCCCACCTGACACCTTCAAACCCCCACCTGACACACTTCAACTTCCACCTGACACACTCTTTAACTTCCACCTGACACTATTCAACCTCCACCTGACACTCTTCAACCTCCACCTGACACTCTTCAACCTCCACCTGACACTCTTCAACCTCCACCTGACACTCTTCAACCTCCACCTGACACTCTTCAACCTCCACCTGACACTTCAACCTCCACCTGACACTTCAACCTCCACCTGACACTCTTCAACCTCCACCTGACACTTCAACCTCCCCCTGAAAATCAAACCTCCCCCCTGACACTCTTCAACCTCCACCTGACACTCTTCAACCTCCACCTGACACTCTTCAACCTCCACCTGACACTCTTCAGCCTCCACCTGACACTCTTCAACCTCCACCTGGGCACTCTTCAACCTCCACCTGACACTCTTCAACCTCCACCTGACACTCTTCAGCCTCCACCTGCAATCTTTAACCTCCACCTGACACCCCTTCAACCTCCACCTGACACTTCAACCTCCACCTGACACTCTTTAACCTCAACCCGACACTTCAACCTCCCCCTGACACTATTCAACCTCCACCTGACAAATCTTCAACCTCCACCTGACACTATTCAACCCCCACCTGACACTCTTCAACTCCACCTGACACTCTTCAGCCTCCACCTGACACTCTTCAACCTCCACCTGACACTCTTCAACCTCCACCTGACAAATTCAACCCCCACCTGACACTTCAACCTCCACCTGACACTTCAACCTCCACTGACAACTTCAACCTCCACCTGACACTCTTCAACCTCCACCTGACACTCTTCAACCTCCACCTGACACTCTTCAACCTCCACCTGACACTCTTCAACCTCCACCTGACACTCTTCAACCTCCACCTGACACCATTCAACCTACTCCTGACACTCAACCTCCACCTGACACTATTCAACCTCCACCTGACATCTTCAACCTCCACCTGACACTATTCAACCTCCACCTGACACTATTTAACCTCCACCTGACACTTCAACCCACCTGACACTCTTCAACCTCCACCGACACTCTTCAAACCCCCACCTGACACTATTCAACCTCTCCTGACACTCTTCAACTCCACCTGACACTCTTCAAATTCCACCTGACACTCTTCAACCTCCGCCTGGAACTCTTCAACTTCCACCAGGCACTCTTCAACCTCCACCTGACACTCTTCAACCTCCACCTGACACTCTTCAACCTCCACCTGACACTCTTCAACCTCCACCTGACACTTCAACCTCCACCTGACACTCTTCAACCTCCACCTGACACTCTTCAACCTCCCCCTGACACCTTCAACCTCCACCTACACTCTTCAACCTCCACCTGACACTCTTCAACCTCCACCTGACACTCCCCAACCTCCACCTGACACTCTTCAACCTTTCCCCCTGACACTCTTCAACCTCCGCCTGACACTTCAACCTCAACCTGACACTTCAACCCCCACCTGACACTCTTCAAAACCCCCACCTGACACTCTTCAACCCCCACCTGACACTCTTCAAATTCCACCTGACACTCTTCAACCTCCGCCTGGGAAATCTTCAACTTCCACCAGGCACTCTTCAACCTCCACCTGACACTCTTCAACCTCCACCTGACACTCTTTCAACCACCACCTGACACTCTTCAAAACCCCCCGACACTTAACCTCCACCTGACACCTTCAACCTCCACCTGACACTCTTCAACCTCCACCTGACACTCTTCAACCTCCACCTGACCCCTCCCTTTAACCTCCACCTGACAAATCTTCAACCTCTCCTGACATCTTCAACCTCCGCCAGACACTCTTTAACCTCCACCTGACACTCTTCAACCTCCACTGACACTCTTCAACCTCCCCCTGCACTCTTCAACCTCCACCTGACATCTTCAACCCCCGCCTGACACTCTTCAACCCCCACCCTGACACCTTCAACCCCCCACCTGACTCTTCAATCTCCCCCTGACACTCTTCAAAACCCCCACCTTACACTCTTCAACCTCCCCCTGACACTCTTCAACCTCCTCCTGACACTCTTCACCCTTCACCTTGACACTCTTCAACCTCCACCTGACACTCTTCAACCTCCACCTGACCCCTCTTCAACCTCCACCTGACACTATTCAACCCCCACCTGACACTCTTCAACCCCCACCTGACTCTTCAACCTCCACCTGACACTTCAACCTCCACCTGACACTTCAACCTCCACCTGACACTCTTCAA